GGTTGAAAATAGAGCTGCGGGTTGTTAATCCACTCCACTCTAAGCGAGCTATGAGAAGATTCAAGGTTCTTGAGACGGAAAGATGGAAGGCTCTGGATCAGTTTACCTAAACCAAGCTTGAACTCGCTGCTGGGACCAATAAGATGTATTGTATATATATCTTTCTTACAGTATAGTGCTATTGGATGGATTATCGAGCTCGGTATATTTATTGACTTAGCCGGTTTTGTGGAGGTTATTCCGGTGAAAAGAAGGATATTTTCCTGATATAAGCTGATACTCCACCCTCCCCTCTCCTCCTATGTATGTACAGCCCTATGGGTCTATGTGTATAATTGCCGGAAAGTTGGGTACTCATTTTTTGAAACACAATGTAATTTTGCGACGAGTAAGGGGGAGGGGCCTAATAGATTATTGGTAGGCTAAAAAAACATCAATGAGTAGCACTGATCTTTCATAGCAGAAGCGTAACGACTGCAAACTCTGAATATATTAAGGTATAAACAGATGTAGATAAACCTACTTACTCCCTAAGATAAACCTATTATGCCTACAATATTGCAGCGTACAGATCCCACTCGAAGCAGACTTCAACGCCAAACAAAAACACCGGATTAACTCTATGGAGATCTAATAATACACGACGATATATACAAAATACAAAATACAAAAGCTCTAGGTCTCCTGGCCCTAACTAACATTGCATTGCGGTGACAAAGCTGAGGCAGAGAAGATACAGAAAAACAAAATACACGATACACAAGATCCGTTTAAGTCTGATAATAGATATCATATAAATATAATTTATGTACGGATACGAAGAAAAGGAAAATGAGAAAATGAAATAAGAAAAAAACAAGACAAACAGCATGGTATGGTAATCAGTCAGGTATAACGAGCCCATCACAAACGGAAGGTAAGAAAAAGGAACTCAGACAAAGCACAAAAGGGAGGTGGACGTTTTGTGGCCTCTGATTAGATCAAGTTTAAGAAGGGGGAAGGGCAGGAAATTGGTAGGAGTAAATCAAAGGGTTCATGGCCGGAGATAGAGGAATCCCCTCGTCTAACGAGGATGGAAAGACGCCAACGGCTTCAATAAGGGCCGGATAATGCCTGATTTCTCACTGCTCGTGGAACATCGGATGGCCAGGTCGAGAGATATGGAAGACGAGAGCAAGGAAAATAGCTGAAGGAGGGACGAAGTAAGGAAGGAGAGCGTGCTAAAAAGAGAGCGTTAAGAGAGTTTGATGGCGTGCATATTGATTTCGACCTCTCATCTCGCGGTAAAATGACTTCAACCTCACATTCATATCGATTACAGATCAATTAGGCTGCCACCTGCCTGAGGTTGCTGCGGGTGATACGCCGGCTGACCGCCCCAGGGGCTGTTGGTAGGCTGCGCAAACCCAGTCTGTTGTGGGACGAATTGCTGTTGCTGGCTGAAGAACGGGTTGCTGCCGGTTGGAGTGGCTTGGAGACGATTCAACCCTTGTCCGGCAGAGTTGACGAAGGTGCCCGGAGCCGTGTGCTGGGCCGGAATACGCAGGTCACCGACGTTACCGAACGTATCCTGGCCCTCTCCGGTGGCGAGGAGCGCATTGAGGCGGGTGTGATGAGGGTCACTCGTGGGAGGAGTGCTCCTCGGCGGGGCCGGGACCGCAGGAGCCTGGAAGTTGGCGATGGGGTTGGCCGAGCCGAACTGATTGTTCTGAGAGCCGAATTGGTTGTTCTGGGAGCCGAATTGGTTGGTGACACGCTCCTCGGCCAAAGTGTTCAACGACGGGGGTCCCGACGTTGAAGGCCGGTTCTGGAATTGAGTGCGAGCGGCGAATGGGTTGTTGGATCCGGTCTGCATCGGCTTCAGAGCATCGGCCGGCGGGGGGCTGGCCCACGGGTTGTTATGGCCCGGCGAGAGGAAGTTGTCCTGTTGCTGGAACTGTTGTGGCTGTGGCTGTTGCTGTTGCTGTTGCTGTTGCTGTGGAGAGAAAACGTCGGTGCCATAGGGATTGTTGGTGCTGAAGGCGGTCTGTTGCGGCTGAAGGGTGGCTTGAGGCTGCAAATAGTTGTTCATAGACTGACCATACGGGTTTTGGTCAAAGACCGAGGGCGGCTGCTGCTGCTGCTGCTGCTGGAAGCCGTTGGTGTATCCATTGGGCATTCCGGTGTTCTGACTTTGGAAACCGGTGGGCTGCGCGTATTGGTTGTTCAAGTATCCGGTGGTCAGGGGCTGCTGAGGGTTGATCGGGTTGCCGAACCAGTCCACGGCACCCTGTTGCTGATACCCCTGGTTGTAACCGGTCGCCTGTGCCGGGGCCGCCTGGACGGGAGTGTCGTCGAAGAGCGATTGCGCGTTGCTTTCTTCCAGCTCTCGTTTACGCAGCTCCTCCTCTTCCTTGCTTAGTTTGATCGCTTTGGCCAGGTCTTCGTCATCTTCCACTCCATAAGCTTCCTTAGCGCGTCGTTTCCGCTCTTCTTCGGCCTCATACTTGCTGGCTTCGATCGCCAAGCGGTATTCCGCATCTTCGTCGTCGTTCGCGGGACGCCGGCGTTCGCGCCGCTCTCCTCGACGGGGCGATGTGGGTTCGTTGCCGTAACCAGGGTATTCGTCAAGGCCGCTCACACGAGTCTTCCACAGCTTCCGGTCGGATCGCTCGCTTCGCAGTCGATCTTCGTCCATAACCAGGGAAGTGAGTTCCTTTGCCGCGACGCGAACTATTCAAACAATCAGCAAATCCCTTCCTCAGTGTAGTCCCGAAACCAGAGAAGCCTCCTACCATTCTGTCCAACATCTCGGCCATCCTCATCGACATATTGGAATTCACGGAGGGTCTTGATGATGTAGACGTTCTTGCGGGCCCAGGTAACCACGAGCTCCGATCCCTCGTGCAGACAGTAATCCAAGACCTTTAGCGACTTCAACACGTGGCGCCAGTTCTTGCCTTTATCGTTCAGTCGCTTATCCAACATGTCCATGATTTCGTAGAAATCGGTGGGACTACTCCGATTATGTCAGTAGGGGGTGCAGAAGGTCCAACGAGACAATGGATGCCTACCTGCTGAACGTCATCGAGGCAATCTCTGACATTTCCGTACCGGTCGGTCCCCAGGGGTCATTGCTAGTAGCTGTCCGAACAATATCAATCAGTGATCGACGGAGATAGAGGGGCGCGGCGCAGGCAAGAGGCGTCGACCGACCGACCGCAAAAATCCAGCGCGAGTAGACCAGGAGAGGGGACGGACGTACCATTTCGGACTTTCACCTGTACTGACGAATAACCCTTGGTGACATTTTTGACGCTGCGCACAACTTTGGACATATTGACGACACTGAGAGGATACCCTCGACGTCACGACGAAAGGAGAATGGTCAAACGTTGCGAATCCGAGCCAGTTAAGCCTCCTTTTATTTATTTGCGGGGAACCCTGGCGTTCAGGGGTTGAGATTGGATACGGGACGCCGTCGAAAGAAAGTTGAAGAAAGAAAGGCGAACAATGGTCGGAGAAGGAAGAAAGAGAGGTTGCGACGGGAGAAAGAGAGAGAGAGGGAGGGAGAGAGGCAGTCCGGGATCTCCTTATCGCTGGCCGTGACGGGAGTGGCGTATGTAAGCCGCGACCGCAGAGGATGGGCGTGTGGAGGATTCGAGGTGAACTAGAAAGGAGAGAGAGAAAGAGAGCGAGAGAAGTTAGACAGAGGGAGTTATGAGGAGTAGAAAAATTATAATCCCCAAAAGTCCAATGTTAAAAAAAAAGGACGGTAAATTAGCCGACAAATGGAGGATGGCAGCAAAGAAAGGCCGTCGGCGATGACGAGAGAAAGCAGTGGATTTGACCGAGCCCAACGGCTGACGACGCCAGACGAACTAACGGGGCCTGAACGATCGATCCACCCCCAGGGTTCTTTCGCAGGGTGTTTGCCTTCCAGGAAGGACCGATTTATTGAACATGAAACGGGGAAATAAAGGGGGGAGGTGCTCCTACTAGTGAATTGATTCTGCCTAGAATAGGCGTGGCGATGAGTTCCTGCTCCCTCGTACGGAATAGTGCGGAGTAAAATGAGATCGTCTAGATGAGAAGGCACGCGAGAACGGTGCAGAGGAGGCGGCAAGAGGGAGAGATAGGTAGAGGAGAGAAGAAAAGAGTTAGTAGTCCGATCTAATGAGTCGGTGAAGATGAAGTGGGAGGAGTAGGAAGAGGAAGAAGAGGAGGAAGAGGGAAAGAAGCGAAAGAGGGACAGACAAGAAAGACCGTTCTTCTAGACGCACTACGGCCCAAGAACTTCCTTGGAAGTCGTCGCCAATTAGTGATGCCGGCCATTTCCTCCCCTTCGAGGGTATATGGACTACTGGTTAATTACTCTCTAGCGGTGATCCTCGCGCAGTGAATTCCTGCTGAATCAACTCCATGAGGAAACCCTCATGCAGCATATCTACTTCGATTCTACGACGATGATATCCCAAGGAACCCCAGATCCATGGACAGTCGTGGCACCTGTGGCGATGCAGCCGCGTACGACGAACCCTTGGCATTTCCGGTCCTCCAGTCATCATTTACGCCGGGCTGCAATGGCCAATCCACGGAGAATAGAAAGAAGGTTGTCACTTCGGACGCATTTCAACAGAAGCACCGAAGGCTGCGAAGATGCGAGGATGCCAGGAAACCCACGGCGGATGGGGCCGAGGGGGAAATCGACGTCATCGCCAAGTCTTCGTTAGTTTACATCCTGATTAATCCTCGCCATATACTCCGTACGGTGTATAACACCGCGAACAACTATAAATCAATTGACATTCCGCATTCTCATGTCCTTTCCTCGTATTTGGTACGTCCATAGTCGTGTCCCGTCAAGCTTTCGCCTTCTCCTTATTCGCGCAGACAACACTTATCATAAAAGCACTTCTCCGTCCATAAAGAAACAATCACAATAAAAAAGAAATAAAAAAGAAAGAGATAAGAGAAAGAAAAGAAAAAGATATAATGAAGAATGCCGTGTTCTTGATCTCTTATTTGTCTTGTTCCATGCTCAAATATTTCGCTTCCGCCCCCTTGATGCAGGCAATGTTGGCTCCCAGCTTGTTCAACGTCTCGACGTATTCGTCGTAGGGGTCCGAATCGAAGACGATTCCACCACCCGCTTGAAGGTAAGCCACTCCGTCCTTGACCATCATCGTTCGCAGCGCAATGCACGTGTCCATCGCTCCGGGGATCTCCGCCGTCCCGTCCGTGCTGGAGATGTTGTACCCAAAGTAGCCCACCGCACCCGCGTACACTCCGCGCTTCTCGCCCTCGAGTTCGGCGATCAGCTGCATGGCCCGCACCTTGGGCGCGCCGGACACCGTCCCCGCGGGGAAAATCGATCGGAAGGCGTCGAACCGAGTCTTCTCGGGACGGAGAATGCCCGACACCTGAGAGACTAGATGCTGCACGTGGGAGAATTTCTCCACCACCATCAGTCGGTCGACCTGCGTCGTGATGGGATCGCACACTCGGTTCACGTCGTTGCGCGCCAGGTCCACCAGCATGACGTGCTCGGCGCGATCCTTCAGACTGCCTCGCAATTCCTCGGCCAGGGCCTCGTCCTCCTCAACAGTCTTGCCACGCTTGACGGTTCCCGCAATAGGATGGGTGATAATGCGACCTTTTTCCTCCTTGGCCAAGAGCTCCGGACTGGCTCCCACCAGCTGAAAGTCCTCGCAGTCGATGTAGAAAAGGTAGGGAGAGGGGTTGACCGTGCGCAAGTGGCGGAAGAGGTTGAAGGGATGGAGAGAGGTGGGGCGGGACAACCGCTGTGACGGCACGGTCTGGAAAATATCACCCTTGGAGATGTGCTCCTTCAGTTTAGTCACATGTCGTTCGTAACCTTCCCGTCCAATGTTGGACGTGTACTCCTGGTCCGGGATGATGGGGCCCTGAGGAGGCAAGGGGTATTCGGGCCGTAGCAGCTTCTCGATGGCACGCTTGATGATTCCTTCACCTCGACTGTATTCTGCCTCGAGTTCCGTATCATTGCTGGGGATAGGGATGTATGTAATGATCTTCACGACTTGGTAGAAGTGGTCGAAGGCAATGATGGTGTCGAAGAGCATGAATAGCGACTCCGGAATACCGAGCACATCCTTAAGCGGTCGTGCCGTCTTGGGCTCGAAGTAGCGAACGCAATCGTATCCAACGTAACCGATCGCACCGGCCGTCAGCGGGGGTAGGGTCAAGCCGGGGACGGTGGCCACGCGGAATCCAGACAGCTCCTTCTCCAGGATCGGAAGGGGGTCGCATTCGGGTCCATGGCCGAGGCCGGTTTTGAGAAGTTTATGGGGATCTGGACGAACGACAGTCAACACCAATGCCTCGGGTTCACTTGGTACCGGGTGACCAAATGGCTGTGCGTACCTGCGCCGACAAAACTATATCTCCCAATAGTCTCGGTGGTGGCGGCACTTTCGTAGAGGAATGACAATTTCGAGCTGTGCCGCGTGACCTTGATCAGTTCCGCTTCGCAAAACACATTCGCATTCTAGACCGGCCTGACTCACTTCTCCGCGATTTTAAGATATGCTAGGGTCGGGGTTAAAAGATCGGCCGGAATCGATGCAGTAATCGGAAGCAAGTTCGGGGGATAATTCGAGTTCTTGTACGAGTTGATCACATCCCTGGCCGTCTCCAAGGACGGCACGACAGTAACCTGAGTCACATAGAAAGAGATTAGCATTGCGATATTACCACGGAAATTGAGGGTCGAAATTGAGATATTGCCGGGGAAAATAAATTAGGTGCGCAGGGAAGATTCAAGACAGAGGAACGTACGGGCGGCGCCATATTGTCAATTCGATGGTGACTTGAGGCCGATAAACGAACGCTTGTGCGGGGAGGAAGAAAGAACGAAGTGGGAGACCGGACGGAGATCGTCTGCTAAACTATGTACTCCGTAAGTACCGACAGTCCCTCAACGGATGAACAGACACAATTTAAAGGACGACCGAGGATCGAAAAGAAGAAGAGTAGATGCAGGAGAGGAAGGGGGGATTTAATTTAAACCTGCAGCATACCGGAGAACGAGGGATGGCTGCTGACAGTCGCTGCAAAACACAAGAATCGTAATAAAATCAAAATAAATAACCATCGGCGGCTGAATTGGCAATTTGACACCGATGCGGTGTACATAGTCTGTAAGTCCCGATGTCATCCATCACCGCCTGACCATCTTTCCTCTCTTTTTCTTTTTCTTTTTCTTTTCCCAGTGTCTTCTTCACTCCCTCCCTCCCTGCCTGTCTCTCTTTTCCTCCGGTATCACAGCGGGAATCTTCTCGGCCCTCTCAGAATCGTGTTGATTGCGACCTGCGGATTACGATCTCGTAATTAAACTCCTTGCATACCGAGCACCTGCCTGGCCGTCGTGAGACACATCTCCATCCCCTGCGCTTAACCTGCCTTTTACATACATCGGTACATATTCTTCAAGATTAACCGGAACAAAAGATATCGCAATATTGTTAATACCAAGGATCGATGCGAAAAGATGGAGCACCCTGCCTTCCCACCACATCTGGACCAACTCTCACCCCCGGAATCCATCGCCAGCCCAAACTTCGACGTCGACAGCGATGTTCACGAGGCTGATTTGGACAACGATGCTATGCGCTTACCAGATCGAATCGCTGGACTAGCCCATTTAATGTCGCAAAACTCCCAGCTGTCCAGTGACGATTCCACCACGCTGCACCAACACCCCGACTTCATCGAATCGCTCCCCGATCCTCGTCCTCGATTAACCCAAGAAGTCGCGAAATGCCGCCCCCCGAGTCCCCAGTCGGGTGCTACGAAACAACTTCCGGGAACACCCCCGGCACTTGCTAGTCCTACAACGGAGCCTGTTCGTTCCGCCAATGAAATTTCGCAGGCTCAGCTTTCGGCCGTTCTTAGCGAGGTGACGGCGCTCGGTGCAGAGTTATGCCAGCGCCGGAAAGAATCCTCCCATATATATGATCGCTTCACTCGGGAACGCCAAGCGCAGGCGCAAAAGATATCGGACCTGGAGGAGGAAATAGACGAGTTGTGAGTAGACGGTAGAGGATCTTGTTTGGGCATTCGTTTGTCAGGACTAATACGTCAATAACTTGTCATCCCTTGCAGGAAAGCAGACATTATAGAAGGATCGGCGGAGCGGGAAGCTCTGGATGGTACTGTTCGCGGGTTCGAGAACTGGATCGATGGCTGGCAGCGGCAGCATGATGAGGCCGTCGCCAAGAGATCCACCCAGGTAGCTCGGCAGAGGAAGTGGATGAAACGTAGGATGGACGACCCTACACAGAGTAACACAGAGGTCCTGTTAGAGGGGATATGCGCATGGATGCGCGGGTGGGCAGACGCCCAAGAAGGCTTCCGTAGCCGAGAAGAAGAACGCAGATTGAGACGGGAAGGAAGACGACATGTCCCAGCCGAAACTGATCAGGGAGAATCGCCAGTGCCACAATGGCATTCATCGGAGTGATCTTGAGGTTGTCGCATTTGAAAACTAAGACTAAAACCAAGTCCCCGGTCAAGACTGTAATGACGCCTGTCGGCCTTTGCGGGAACAGGATCATGCCCTAACATATCGCTGGGGATCTGGCATCCCGTTGGATAAAACATGAGTTTTCTGACATCCAGAAACCATGCTGAGTAAAGGAAACAATGGTACATTTCGAGAACAAGGAAAAGGGAAGTTCACAATATTGGGGGGAAATATCGAAGATATTATGAAAAGAGAACAGAGAAAGGGAGGAAGAAGGAAAAATGATAAGAAAAAGCAGTATGTCCACCGTAACCCATATTATTCGCCAACCGCCACTTTTCGATCATGATGCCAATTGTCTGCGCCGTTGTGTATCGTCTAACCAAAACATTTACCGAAGTAGAAGTGTGAATAAGTGCTGAAAAAGAAGAATAAAGTAAGTTGGTAAGCCTATGCGGTCTCCCCGGCTGTTATTCAACATATGCCAGTTTCGGTCGTGATCCCCAGTATCGCTTGTTTGCAAGCTGCCAGGACTTGCTGGAAACCCACAGCAAATCAGGGGAGGGGTGACGCGCTCTCCCGAGACATCAATGGTCGGGTGCGTACAATTGTTTGGGCCGCTAGCTCTAATGGCGGGAGCCGTGGGGTTTTCGCATATGGCAAGATTATAATACAGGAGGATACAATGAAAGCTTTGTGAGCGCTGAACTGGGATCCTTCCATATCCGGATGTCAGGACAATCAGCGCTGAAGGTTGATGATCGCCATCTATAGGACTGATTAGTATCAAAGCGTTGTTGAACAAAGCGGACAAGAAAGTATTACCTGTTTGCCAAAACCAAACGTGAGCCGTTTACTGTCAGTGTCCCATGCGAGAGATCGATCGGGAGCAGAGTCTGCATTCCCGTTATGTCCATTTGTAACTGGACTATGTTGTTCTTCTTCCTTCTTGGTTTCTTGGGAGCCTGGAATCGTCCAAGTTGCTAATGGAGTACCACCACGCTGGGCGTTCCAGATGAATAATTGATCTTTGCTGGCGGCAGCGAGGGCGTACCCGTCAGGGGAGAAGCCACTAGCAAGGGCGGGAGAGCTAGCTCCCAAGACCAGTCGGTGAACGCACTCGAACCGTTTTGAGTCTAAATCAATATGCCAGATCTTGACGGTGTCGTCCGTAGACGATGAAGCCAGGACTAGCGGCTGATTTGATTGGGATGGATCGGACGCGTTAGGTTTCAGTTCGATCGACGTGATGTCGCCATCATGTACCTGATCTAGTTTCATATCGTGGGTTGGAACCCAGAATGCAGCGTCGCAGGATGAAGCGGCTACCGCCACGGATGAGGAGCCGGCAGTTGCGCAACTAATGAAAGTCCAGGGTCTGCTGGAATCTTCAGATGTGTATGTTTTGGCAATTCTTATGCTGGAGTCAACATCACACTGATAGACGGCTCCATTTCCACACCCGTAGGCTTGGGAACGGCCGGCCCAGGAGAGGTCATACAACGATCCCTCGACCACCTGCGGAGAAGGAAACTCATCCGGGCGCAGCGAATCATCCCAGAGAGCCAGCTCGGAGACTTTACTATCGGACGCCACAACGATCAAATGAGAACCACTTTCGGCCCAATGAAGTCCAGTAATCATGCGAGGTACTTCGGGTAGGAGATCGACGGCATTCCCGGCCACATCATACATGGTGATGGACCCTCTCATGTCGTTGTAGGTGGCGACGGCCAATTTCTGGCCCATTGGGTCCCAGGCGACCGCCGAAACGCAAGTGTTATCGCCTTTGCTCTCGACAAGCTTCTCTTGCACCGGAGCGGCAGTCGAGGACATCTTCCATAAGCTACAAAACGAGTCGCCGGCGGCAACAACAACCGTCGGGTCGCTGGGGCGCCACAACGAGCGGGTCACGTGGGCATCACTCGCCACATCCAGAACGGCGGTGTCGGGGCTAAGGTCGGCAGCCTTGGCGGGGGTGATCTGGACGCCAACGCTGTGTCCAGTGGTCAGCGTAAAGGTTGGCGCGGCCGGTTCCTGGTCCTGCGACTCCGGTCGGCTGCCCATGTTCACATCTCCGTCGTCATCCACCACGGGGTCGGCTACGGCGGGTGACTCGTCATCAACCACCGGCTTAACATTATTATTATTCTCATGGGTAGTAACTCCATTGGAATCGACATCCATAGGCGTTTCATCGCCATTGGTTTCCCCACGATCGCTCTTGCGAGATTTCTTAACAGGGGGGGCGTCTGCGGGCGCGGCAGTCTCGGCGGTCAGATGACCGTTGATCACGGCGCTGTCTCGAGGGGCTTTGCTTGTAGGCGAGACAGGCGCCTGGTCCGTGCCGCCAACAGCTGCTTCACCCGGGCCACCTGGATTTTTGGGGATCTCCGGCTCCAGCGGTGCTGGTCCGAAAAAATAATTTGACGCTGATAATGGAACTTGATTTCCCTCCTGCGATTTTTTGTTAGACTGGTTAAGAAGAATGGACCTCCGCCCGTTCCAAAAAATTGAGAAAAATAATATGGAGAAAGGAAGAGGAAAAGAAAAAATCGAAGAGAAAAGAAGGCGAGGAATAACAAGCCCACAAGGTTGACTCGAAACATACCTTATCGACAGATTGCTCTAATTCGTGATACTGTAATCCTTTCTGGACCAGCGACACCAGCGCATGAGTTTTGATGTAAGGAGCAAAAGGCAAACTTTGTGGATCACGATTCCATGCGCGCTGCAGGGTCACAGCCGCTTCACCATGACCTAGGTGATTGGGGTTTAGGTTAGAAGACAAATCAAGATAGATAGTAGAAGCTTCAAGATCGAAGAATCAATGTCCAGAGGGGGGGAAATTTAAAGACCAACCTGATTCTTGAAGATACCTAAAGGGTGTGTCAGCGATAATGTCATAACAGAAATTCAAAGTGTTCTGTGAGGGAGGAAAGCAAGGACCGGATGACAATAACGGATCAGGAGAATCTGCAGTGGTTGGGACATACCTCCATATTAGGTAGTTGACGTGATGCGACGTGAGATGAGGGCGTGCCATTGTTACATGTATGACAGCTAGTAAGGTGGAGGATCCGCTAGCATGCCAATGATGAAAGATATCTCCGCTGAGCAGGATTGTAGAAAGACAACAGTGGGCAACGCAACCTGAAGCCTCGAAGATGCGGAGATTTGAAAAACGGGTAGGTTAACCGATTTGAGACAAAGGGGACTTAGGATGGAACGGGCTCCCGAGCAAAAGGACCAAGATTTGAGAGGGCGGACGTTTGGTGGAAACCGAAGAGAAACGACCGGCGAAGACGCAGCCAAGGCCGTGACAAGGGAGGGAGAGAAGTGACAATAAGTTGAATGGGAAGAATGAAGAGAGAAGAAGGATGGGCTAGCGGGACTAGGTTGATCAAAAGATCATCAAAAAAAGGGCAGGGAACTGCGGAACATCCTATTGGCAGCTGGCGGCCTTTGGAGAAGAGGGAACCAAGGCGTCGACAGGCTTCAAGGGACGCAAAGGTGGTAACCGAGGAATCCCAAGGTTGGAACGAGAAGCAGTGCACGAATTATCGAGACGGGACGAAATCGAGCACCAACGTGTGGCTTGAGATAGCAGACCCGCTAGCGAACTGCGAGTGCAGCAGGTTTATGGGGGGAGTGGGTGCGAAGGACTGAGGGAAAACGAGAGGAGGGGAGGGAGAGGAGAGAGAGGGAGAGAGGGACTGAGAGAGAGAGAGAAAGAGAAAGAGAGAGAAGTGAGAGCTCAGGAAGGGAAGAGCAGGAGAAGACGGAGAAGAGAAGAAGTCAAGGATCGAAGAGCGCGTAGGTTAGAGTTAGCTAACGGTGGTGGAGAGATCGCAGGTGATGAACCCGTCCGTCAAGCAAGTCAAGTTCCAGTCCAGTCCAGTCCCGGTCAGTTCAGTAAGCGTTCAAAGGTGCTGAGCAAGGTTACGGGAGTCGGGATCGAGTTTCGAGGGTCGAGTCGCGAACAGAGCACCAAAGCACCGGAGAGCCAGAGAGGCCAAAAAGGCGCCAAAAGTCACCCCGAGTCACCAAACCCAGAGAGGCAAGCAGGGAATTTCTCCAGGCGGCTCTGGGACGCTGTTTCAGACGGGGGAAGCACTTTTTCTTTTTTTTTTTCCTTTTTTTTCCTTTTCAATTTTTTGACTCTGGGCCTGGGACTTTTTTGGGCTTGACTCGTTGTGGCGTCTGGGCCATGGGACTAGCGTGCAGTTGGGAAATCCACCGGGCCCCTTGTGCGGTTCTGACGGCCTGAGGATCAGCTTCCGCGCTTGGCCGTCTTGGGCCTTAGTTCCAGTGGGACCTGCTGGGGCTGCCCCAGAAGGAGTCTAGCGTGGTCGGATCAGGTGACCTTGAATTCTGAGTTTCGTTTTGCCCCGGGGAAGTTGCGACTTGGGAAGGACGGCTGTGTCACACCGTCACACGCTGGATTCAGGGTTCAATTCTTTCTTTCCTACGATCATTGTGGCTGCATTCCACCCGGATCTCCGATTGTACGGTGTATGTACAATGATTCAATGATTCAACCATAATAGGAATTGTGTGTATCGGTCGGAAGAGTGAATGCATCAATTACTCCGTACTACTCCGTATATCCTACAGTGTATATACATAGTGTAGTCATAGAGTGAATAAATATTATTTACCAACCACGCGGTTGGATCCTGCAGAACTCCTCTGGATATGTATCTATTCCGCGGAAGGAATCGTGGCAGACGCACTTACTAATCCTCGGTGGGGAGCAGAAAATAAATTCTTATTATTCTTAATTCTTACGCAGTACGGAGTCGACTACCGATGCGGATGAACACAGATCGGTCCACGGGTGTCGTACTACCCATTGCCCCCTTATTGTGTACGGACTTCGGAGGATGGAATGGACCTATATCCATTCAGAATAATCTAGTACTCTGTACAAATAAACTTGACATGTCCATAGTCACCACTTCTGAATGAAGTCTCCCCTCTTTACGAATTACCAAGTTCATAGTTCCCAAGGTGGTACAGACCGGCCCTACAGCAGGGCGGCAACCCGTCAGTGTTAAAAAAAAAAAAAGCATGCCGATGGACATTGTGGGGCGGCTCCAATCACATCGAGGCGATCCGTGACCAACCCAAACCCAAAACTGCCATTGCCCGAATTCGAAATCTCCAACCTGCCAGGCTGAACCCAAACAACTCCCGACCTTTTAAAGACCTCCAACTTCCTTTCCTCCGCCACACCCCCTTCGACTGGAGTTTCTTACCAACGGCCTGCGGTCTGCATTTCTTCCCCGCAGCCGTATGAGCTCATCCCACACAAAATGGCCCTTCGTGTCAATATCCCGCCCGCGACCCGCGTCTGTCTCATCAGCCTGCTCACCCTTTCCTTGTTGTACAACATTGCCAGATGGCGACAGATTGACACCACCGGGGGAACCCCCTCGGTCGCCCCTATAATCCCCTACTTGACTCTCGTGCCGTCGCTGGTCTTCTTCTATCCTTGGACGCTTTTGACGGCGACGTTTGTGGAACAAAACATCTTCACGGTGCTTTTGAACGGAGCCACTCTCTTCTACGGTGGGAAGTACTTGGAGCGCGCCTGGAGTTCTCGGGAGTTTGCGAAATTCATCCTCACCATCGCGGTGGTCCCAAATGTGGTCATCGTCCCGTTCTACCTGATCTGGGCTGCGATCCGGGGAAGCCCATCTAGCAGGTACGCCGAGCTCTCCGATTTGAAAGACCCGACCGTGTTGCGTTCTGGTTGCTAACGTTATGTGCTGCCACAGTGTAATCCAGATCTGCGGTGGGATATCGATCCAAGCCTCATTCCTCGTCGCCTTCAAGCAGCTCGTACCCGAACATACGGTGACCCTCTTCAAGGGCCTAGTGAAGATGCGCGTGAAGCATTTCCCCGCCCTCTTCTTGTTTCTGAACACTTTTAGCGGGGTTCTGATCGGCACGCACGTGGCAGCTATCCTGTCTTGGTTTGGATTGTTGACCAGCTGGTCCTACCTACGATTTCTCAAGCGACAGCCTGACCTTACCGGCACGAGCACGGATGGGTTGGGCATCAAGGGCGATGCAAGCGAGACTTTTGCCTTCGCCTGTCTCTTCCCCGACGTCATCCAGCCTCCTATTGCATTCGTCTCCGATCAGATTTACATTCTCCTTGTCACCTTGAAGATATGCACCCCGTTTTCGGAGGAAGACATTGCGTCCGGCAATGAACAGGTCCTCGCGAGAGGTGAGGCCGGTCTGCCTAGCCTGCTTACCAATCAGAGAGGAGGAGCGAGGGGCATAGCAAAGCGCGAAGAAGCCGAGAGGAGACGCGCCTTAGCTCTCAAGGCTTTGGACCAGAGACTCCAGGCAGCAGCAGCGGGCAGGGCACCGCCTAACCAGTCCGCCTCAAACCAACCAGGGCCCAGTCAAACACAGACAGCAACCCCGACGGTATCAACAGGACAGCCTATGCTGGGTGAAACCAGTTATACGCCAGACCACTCCTAGAATTTGCAAAGGATTGTGCATGGCATAGTTTCAAGGAGTTTGATTGCTCGTTTGGGATAAAGGAAGAGAGGCATGGAATCGGTGGTTTCACTTGATCTTGGTTCAAGTATGGAACTCAAACCCGACATGCCCAGGAGTGTGTGTGCAAGCGTTAGTTGCGATCTTTCTTTTGGTCGGTATCCTTGGGTGTATAAATGAATACTCCATTGCATAGTCGATATTACCTGGCGATCATATAATACTCAGTAGTTGGGGTGTCACATGCATTCAATGTGTCGTACCTCAATGGCTATGAATCAATGATAGCAATGTCCATAATTTCAACTTAAAATCCATTATAATCCACAAAAAAGATGATCCCTAGAACTACATGGTCGAAATACATAAGAAAAAGCAAAAACAAAATAAAGGGCTATGCTACAATTGGCCATTTCCATGTGAATTTTCCACAAACCCAATTTCATCCCCTTCAAAAAGGAGAGTTATTTACCAAGCACACGTCGAGCTCAAAACCTTTACAGCTGCTTCAGCCTCTCGACCTCTCCCCTAGCTTCTTGGAGCATGCGCTCTTGGTCCTTCTTCGCCTGTCGAAGGGCAGCCATGCGCACACGGTCCTTGTCCCCCTGCTGACGCATCTCTTCAAACTTCCGCACTTCGGCCTCTTCCTCCGCGGTCGCGGCAATCTCCTGCGCCCCGGTCATCGTCTTCACCTTGTTCCAGATCTGCTTGTAGTCGAGATCCTTCACATCTAGCACCGCCGACTTTTCCGTCTCCGAAAGCGCGGGGGCGTGCTTGTCGTTGATCTGAGAGGCCGTCAATGATGCGGCTTTGCTGACCTGTTCGGCGAAGTATATCGTCAAGGCGGCGGGTCCGTCCTGCTCGTCGGTTCGTCTCACGGTCATCGGGATGGCCGGGTTGTGGAACTTCAGTCGAGGGAGGCAGTTGCGCCAGAAATGTCGTGCACCTTGGTGTCCGCCATAGATCTTGCGGGCGTATGTGAGATGAAGACGGGTGATGGCTGGGAATTCTTTGGATGCGGATGAAGCTGACGGAAAGGTTGCGGCACCGGTACCGACGCGGATGTTGACGAGCTGTAGACGGTTCATCAAGAATTAGTATCTCGGGTTTGATATCTCTCTTGCTGGTTGCTTTTCAACGGGTCGGTTTTCTAGGGAAATTTGTCCGGGGGAATGGATCCCATATTGCGCAGTTTGGATACCGAACGCCTTTGTAAAGGTACATGGGAATATCGGAGACTCTTTACCTTCTGTTGAGTCAAATTGTCAGTTGTCATACTTCATCACGGCTCGAATTGTTAAGAGCAGGGTGCAACATACAGATTGCAGCTTTCGCATCCGCTTGAACATGTTCACCATGATGACGGTTAAGAGAGCACACGCTCTGGGTGTTTGTCGAAAAAAATTGGAAGAATAGGTGAGTTAGAGGAACAACGGCGGAGAACGGCGACCAAAGGGCAATTGGTGAAAATCGATGTCTTCTGGCATGGACCGCATCCCGATCTTTTGAGGCTTGTCGGCGGAAAAGAAAACGACTCCGATACTATGGCACGTGATCAGGACCTGTCGGCGGCAAAGACGGCAGGCGGTGAGTGAGGGTGACTCCCACATAATCTTTCGAATCAGAAGTCGATAAAGCCCAACCCCGCGATTGATATCCCTCTCCTTCCCCTCCATCTCCGCCTTTACGGCTCTCTATTTTCGGTTTGCGACAAAGCAGACTAATCAACGGGAGCTATGACGGCCGCTGCTGCATCCGCAGCTGTGCTCGACCCGGGCAACAGCTCTAAAAACACCCTCAAACTCGAAAATGTTCTGCAATCTACCCCTCCTCTCCACCCCCAGAGAATCTTGGCCGTATTCAGAGTGCTAATGTGTGAAAGATTATAACAGACCGAGAAGCGTGACACCCTCATCGCCATCGAGAAGAAATATCAGGCGATATGGAAGGATAACAAGGTTTTCGAGGTCGACGCTCCCTCTCTGTCGGAGATTCCTGCGGGATCCATGACCGCCGCGGAACTACGTGAGAAGCACCCCAAGTTTTTCGGAACCATGGCCTACCCGTATATGAACGGAACACTGCACGCTGGTCACAGTTTTACCGCCAGTAAAGTCGAATTCATGACTGGTGTGGCCCGTATGGAGGGCAAGCGGGCTCTCTTCCCCCTCGGATTCCACTGCACCGGTATGCCTATCAAGGCCTGCGCGGACAAGCTCGCCGACGAGGTTAAGAAATTCGGACAGAACTTCGAAGGATACAAGGAGGAGGGCGAAGAGGAAACTCAGGCCGCTCCTACCCAGGAGGTCAAGGCCGAGCAGCAGGAGAAGTTCTCCGGCAAGAAGAGCAAGGCCGCCGCCAAGACCGTGAAGATGAAGTACCAATTCCAGATCATGTTGGCCATCGGTCTTCCTCTGGAGGAGATCCACAAGTTCGCCGACGCCAACCACTGGCTCCAGCACTTCCCTCCTCTTGCCATTCGTGATCTCGACAGCCTGGGTGCCAGAGTCGACTGGCGTAGACAGTTTGTTACCACCGACGCGAACCCTTACTACGATGCCTTTGTGCGCTGGCAGATGAACCGTCTTCACGAACTCGGAAAGATTCAGTACGGCAACCGTTACACCGTCTACTCCCCCAAGGACGGACAGCCCTGCATGGACCACGACCGAACCGAGGGTGAGGGAATTGGACCCCAGGAGTACACGGCTATGAAGCTGAAGGTCAAGGAATGGGCGCCTAAGGTGGCTGAGCTCGTGAAGGGCAAGATTGAGGATGATGCCAGTGTCTACTTCGTCCCTGCTACTCTGCGTCCCGAGACCATGTATGGACAGACCTGCTGCTTCCTCGGCCCCAAGATCGAATACGGTATCTTCAAGGTGAAGGAGAAGGAGTACTTCGTTGCCACTAAGAGAGCCGCTTGGAACATGGCCTTCCAGGGCATCTTCTTCGACAGCGAGCACTTCCCCAAGACTCAGGATCAGCTGCCTTTGGTCCTTGAGGCTCCTGGATCTGCCTTCGTTGGCACCCTGGTCAACGCGCCCCTCTCATTCCACACCGAAGGTGTGCGCATCCTGCCCATGGATGGCGTTTCTGCCAGCAAGGGTACTGGCGTTGTCACCTCTGTGCCTTCTGACAGTCCCGATGACTACGCTACCTTGATGGACCTTGCGAAGAAGTCCGAATACTATGGCATCCAAAAGGAGTGGGCCGAGCTGGAGATCCACCCTCTCATCGATACCCCGACATACGGAAACCTCACTGCCCCTACTCTGGTCAAGCAGCTCAAGATCAACTCTCCCAAGGACGTCAACCAGCTCGCCCAGGCCAAGGAACTGGCTTATGGCGAAGCGTTCTACAAGGGCACTATGCTTGTGGGCGAGTTCAAGGGTCAGCCAGTGAGCGCTGTTAAGGACAAGATTCGCAAGGCTCTCTACGACAGTGGAGATGCTTTCGCCTTCGCCGACCCCATGGGTAAGGTTGTCAGCCGAAGTGGCGATGACTGCGTCGTTGCCTACCTTGGCCAGTGGTTCTTGAACTACGGCGAGAACGACGCCAAGTGGCAGAAGGACACCTTGAACCACGTCGTCAACACTCTCAACACCTACTCGAACGAGACCAAGAACGGTTTCGAGAAGAACCTTGACTGGCTCAACCGCTGGGCTTGCGCCAGAACGTATGGTCTCGGATCTAAGCTCCCCTGGGATCCTCAGTTCCTGGTGGAGAGTCTGAGCGACAGTACCGTCTACATGGCCTACTACACGATTGCCCACCTTCTGCACGGCGATCGTTACGGTAAATCTACCGGGTCTCTGGGTGTGAAGGCTGAGCAGATGACCGACGAAGTTTGGGACTACGTCTTCACAAGACGCGAAATCAACGACGAGCTGGTGTCGAAGAGCGGTATCAGCAAGGATTCCCTGCAGCAGCTGCGGAGAGAGTTTGAGTACTGGTACCCCCTGGATGTCAGAGTGTCCGGAAAAGACCTTATCCAGAACCACTTGACCTTCTTCCTCTACATTCACGTGGCTCTCTTCCCCTCCGAGTACTGGCCTCGTGGTGTCCGTGCCAACGGACACTTGCTCCTCAACGGTGACAAGATGAGTAAGAGCACGGGTAACTTCCTTACTCTCAAAGACTCCGTCGAGAAGTTCGGTGCCGATGCCACCCGTATTGCCTTTGCCGATGCTGGTGACGGCATCGAGGATGCCAACTTCGAGGAAACCGTTGCTAACAGTAACATTCTGCGTCTCTTCACCCTCAAGGAATGGATCGAAGAGGTTGTCAAGGATGAGTCTCTGCGAACCGGTCCTGCGGATTCCTTCTGGGATAAGCTGTTCAACAACGAACTGAACAACCTAGTTCACGAGGCTATCAAGAACTACCAAGAGTGAGTTTCTACACTTGGAAAACCCGCCTATACCCACCTGGATAGTTGCTAACAATGATACCAGTACGAACTTCAAGCTTGCCCTGAAGTCTTCTCTGTATGACCTGACCGGTGTCCGTGACGTCTACCGTGAGGCAACCACCGCAGCCGGTGTGGGAATGCACCGTGACATGATCCTCCGCTACATCGAGCTGCAGGCTCTCCTGATGGCTCCTATCGCTCCTCACTGGGCCGAATACCTCTGGCTCGAGGTTCTCAAGAAGGTCAGTACGCGAACTCACTTTATCATGGATGCAAAATACATAAAACAAAACAAAAACTAACTCCTTCAATCCAACAGCCCGAGACCATCCACTTCGCCCGCTTCCCCGAGGTCCCCCAGCCTTCTCCTGAACTGCTGGCCGCGTCGAGCTACGTCCGCAACACCTCCTCCGGCATCACCTCCGCCGAGGCCAACTTCACCAAGAAGCTCTCCAAGGGCAAGTCCAGCTCCTTCGACCCCCGCAAGCCCAAGAAGATCACCATCTTCGCCGCGAAGAAGTACCCCGAGTGGCAGGAGAAGTACATCGACCTGGTCCGCGAGGCCTTCGACTCCCTCAGCTTCTCGATCAACGACAAGGAGCTGAACGCTAAGGTCGGCAAGCTCGGTGAGATGAAGAAGGCCATGCCTTTCGTGCAGGGCCTGAAGAAGCGTCTGGTCGTGAGCAAAGAGACCCCCGACACGGTGTTTAATCGGCAACTGCCGTTCGACGAGTTCGCCGTCCTCGAGGAGATGCGGGGTGGTTTGAAGCGCACGACGGGTTGCAAGGAGCTTGAGATCATTGCCGTCGAGGAGGGCGGTAAGACCGGCGAGGTGCTGGGAACTGGTGAGAAGAGAGAGGGTCTGCAGGCTGAAAATGCTGTCCCTGGAAACCCGACTTTCGCGTTTGCCAACATTGCGGAGTAAAAATGATAGTCTGGGATTTTGAATGAGGGCATGGTATCCTTTCTAGATATACAGATCTAGAGTTGTTGGGTTGGATGGTTTAAGACATAAATTAAGATTAAAATAAGAGTACGAAGATGAAGAAATGCAATGATTTTTGATGTTCATAACAATATAAAGCCATGCTATTTAAATGTATTTCTCATATCTAAGCCCAACCAAAAATAACAACATTACGTACATACCTCTGATATTTATAAATAAACACCAACCACCCGCCCAACCTATTCCACCACATCCCCCACCAACCCCAAACACTTAAACCACTCAAGTAGTAAGTAGTAAGTACCCACTAGAGCATCAATCATCTTTCAAAACCCTCATCATTCTATACCCAGACGAGTGTAACAAAAGACAAACCCGTTAGCAGTTATCCCTACAAAACCAACCCACAATCCGTGGAAGAAAGAGTATGTATATCTCTCCACAGCTACGGATGGATGGATGGATAGATGGATGGATGGCACATACCTCCGCAATCCTTCTCTCAACACGTCCTCCTCTTGGGAAAATACAAGCCGAAACCAGCCCGCCTGCCTTGCGTGCTCTTCCCCAGGATGCAGGAAGACACCTGCGTTAAGGAATTTTTGCGCTAGGGTGAATTCGCCTTCGTTGGTGTTGGTGTTGGTTGGTAGATAGGGAGAGAGGTCGATGAAGATGAAGAAGCCGGCGGTTCTGGGTGGGATGGAGATGTTGGTTAGCTTGGGGAGAATCTTGAAGGGGTAAGTGAAACAATAGGGATTGAAGGAGGGACAGGAACGTATCATAGTATTGGAGCTGGGACCACAGGGAAAAGTAATGATATATGATATAGGTATGTTGGTATCACCGAACTTACCCGCCCTTCACGTAATTGATTCCTTCCCTATCCAAAGTCGAAGTCACGATGTGGTATGTCTTCGCGAGATCTTCCTTTGACTTTTCCATGAAATTGGTGACGAAGACCTGGTCTTCGAGGATGGTGGCGCCGATGGCTTGCGTGGTTGTTGAGGGGTGGTGGAGTCGTCTGTTCATGGACATATTCATAAGTAACTTGTCATGTTAGGGGTTATCAGTTCAAACTAATCGAGGGAAGGGAAGGAAGGGGTATGAAGGATACAATCTCACACGATGACTTTGCAAGCTTCGCGGAGTGGCTCGTTTGCAGTGATCAAGAAGCCAAGGTGGAGGCCTCCTGCTGCGAAATCCTGTGGTTGGGCTGCTAGTTAGCTTGGATGGATACTTGTTGATATTGGTTTTTTCATGAGGAAGAAGTCTCCTAGGATATAGGTATTGTGGTTAGTAAGTAGCCCACGAAATGCCATCTTACCTTGCTGAAACCCCAGAGAACATGCACAAGATTCGGATCAATCAGGCCCTTCGTATCAATGGACAGAATCGAAGTAAACGGAATAGCGCGTGGATCCCCCGAATCGAAAACGCACGAGGCGTAGACCTCGTCACTGATAACGTGCAAGTTATTCTTGCTACAAAACTGAAGGATTTCTATTAACGTATCCTTGGGATAGCAACGACCTATCCAAATAACAGTAATCAACTATCAATATCATGGATAAAAGGCAAGACAATAAGCAAAGAACCAGGGTCAATCGACTCACCCACAGGATTATGCGGATTCACAAGCAAAACAGCACGAACAGCGATGCCCTTACTTGCAGCATCCTTCAGCGCCGCTTCATACTTCACGACAACACCCGGCGTGAAAGACTCCTCGGGCTCGGTGTCCGCATACACCATCTGGACGCCTGCCTCGACACCGTAATCTAGTTCGAATCGACCATACACAGGTCGAGCAACAAGGATCCCATCCGATTCCTCTGCTAGGGTGAAGGCCAACATGCTCCCGATGGCTGTCAGACCGCTGGCAGTGACGACGTGCTCGGCGTCGATGGAAACTTTAGGCTTCAGAAGGGAGTTTAGATGTGACGCCACGGCCTGGGGGAGACGAGCGGGCGAGTCTGGGCGAGGACGGTAGCCGATTTCGTTTGCTGTGAAGGTTACCTAGAGGAGCAGATCAATAAGGAGATTGAATTTTGGGATGCGTTGGAGAAATAGAGAGAGAGAGAGAGAGAGAGAGAGAGAGTACTTGGATACCTTGTTGTTGATGTAGTTCGCAATCTCGGAGCGCATTGGAGCCTATCGCCTAGTTAGAGACGCTTGGGTATTAGGATATTCAGGTTTGTTGGTATACATGTTCTGCCATTCCCAAGGATATCATTCCCGAGGGGTTGGTTTCTGCATCGTAGGTATGCGCTGCGGCATATCGCCAGGGACGGTGAAGGGATTCGGTCTTCTTGGTTCCCCGCGAGGAGAGCATTTTGGTTATAAATCAATATGGAGTTCAGAAGAGAAACAGAAAGATAGAGATGGAGAGATGGTTGTGAGTGATAGAATGTACAGGGCGGTGGTAGAGAATACGAGAATCGAGAGAAGCAGAAGGTCCCCGCTGTATACTAATAATGTGCTCATCTTTAGCGTCCTGGTCCACACTAGAAAATGATTAATGCTGTAGATGTCCACCAAGATGGGAGATTGTTTTATTCGATAAATGTAGATCTAATTATAATATACAGAAATTTGAGGGTGTATGTGCACTGCCTTTTTATATCCAACAAAACACCAATCGCTATGCTACATGCAAGATTATACAAATGTTAATATGGATCCGCCTTCAAGTTCGCGCAAGCTCTGGGTCCTAGACTGCCTATAATCACGACGAAGAATGAGCGCGCTTCTTCTGGCCAATGCTCTGTCGTCCTCGCGATGCTTTTTTGCGCTTGTCGGATGACTGCTTCTCAGCGGTGAACCGCCAGCATTCAATTGGCCTCCGCAGACCGATGTGTTGGCCGTTGGGACTGAAGACCTCGACCTGGGGCGAGGACCCTGGAGATTCGTCGCCACCGGCATTGGCTCGGACCTGGATTGTGAGCTCGACCCACCCACATCCCTCGACTAGGATATCAGCTGACATCACTCTGTAGGGCAAGCGAGGAGGCTGAGTTCCTTTGTCTTGCATTGCTTTGGCTATCGAGACCGGCAGATGCGATTGAGTCACGTCCCATTTCAGGTCGAACACGCCAGCAGATGCAATAGTGTCTCCACTGCCTTCCTTCACGATGTTGTCACCGGGGTATTGGCGCTGTTGTGCCTGCATCTCGATCGCTTTTTCGGTCTTAGTGATGTGGGCTTCAATGGGAAGGAAACAGGCAGCCATCATCACATGGTCAGGGTTCACCGCGGTGATTCTAACAAGCCCGCCCCCGAGAAGCAAAGACTGCCCGGTCTTGATACTGTGGCGCTCAGGTTTAACCCGCTTGGTCATGATCAAGTCACGCTTGTGCGAGTCCACGACATGGTTAGCTATTTCAGTGCGCTCTAGCCCAGGAAGATCAATCATCTCCCCTCTGCCACGGCCAAACGGGATACGAATGGGCGAAACGGTAGTACCGGGGAGTGACGACACAACTGGAAGGATAGGGTACTGTTCCTCCCGAGGGGCCGGAGGCAGGAGACCGTCGGAATCCAGCGGCGAGATGTCCGAAGGTCTGGAGATAATCATCTCCTCCGCCTGGCGACGTTCTACCAGCTCCGCGTATTTTTCCAAAGTCTTCGAATCCTTGGGGAAGCAAGCCTCTATGAAACTGCTTTTCCCAACATTGGCTTTCCCAACCACCCAGATACCGCCTCCATGCTCGGTGATCTCTTCCTTGACCGTCTTAGTCCACCAGCCTCGGTGCGCGCTAATCATATGAACATTGCCCAGACGGTAGTCTCCACTCTGTTGCTTCAGAGTGTCGCGGAGAATAGAGCGCACGTATTCCATTTTCGAGTCTACCTGCTCCTTCGTCGGCCCGAGCAAGTCGGATCGCGTGATGATGAAGGAGATAGATGGCAGTTTTCTCCCCCGTTTGTACTGATTCAGACTTGCGCGTCGGTTTCGCGAGCGCTGTTCCTGCAGGGAAAGTGCTTCGTAGATATTATCGACTAGAGACATCGGGAAATCCGCAGCGTCTATCACGTGGTAAATGCGATTGTGTTTATGCGGGGACTCGTCCAGGAGTTCTCGAACTGAGTAAATTGTCGGCGAGACGGCGGGAACTGCCTTGTTGTGGTGTAACAGGTCGTGGCATCTATCGCAAACATGTGTGAATGTAGGTAATTGTCCTGAATCTTCGCTTCTGGGCTCGATTTCGGGCTCGAAAAGGATGTCATCTAGACCGGTATTAGTCTCATAGACGGTCGCTGAGTGGGAAGAATATGAGTATACGCACTTTCTGGTTTGGGTATGGCTGCGTTCTCCAATCCCTCCGGCGTAGATTGGGTCTCTTTTCTTGCCTCCGACAGGAGTTTCCGCGTCTGCTTTCTGGATTCACCGTAGTATCCCGCTTCTTCAGGTTCGAGGGTTTGCGAATAAGCTCCACATCCTGGACAGCAAACGGGAAGGAATTCCTCAGCACGGAGCGACGGGTTCGTATGCGATGGGGTGGCTGAGGAGAATAAGCGTTGTTGTTTGAATGGTAGAGAGTCGAGATTGAGCTCGGGGAAGCTTTGCGGTCGTGAAAAAAGGCTCCGAAATGGAAGCCTCTGGGGAAGGAATCGAGGCGGACGGGGAAGTTGGCGACAGCCCTGGATTGATCGCCAGGATTTAGGGACAATTCGTCCCAGGCAGGATGACATGACGGGGCAGTGGTGTAGAATGTGGTAAGGACGGAGCAAAAAGTATGCGAGAGCGATTGATAGCGCTGATAGCAGCGGATCGGAGGCCGGCGCGGGTTACCGAAAAAGTTGCTGTGGCAAATTCTATCATTCTGCTCACATCAAAGAAAAGGATTTGGTTTTGATATAGTTCTAAATTACTTTGATATAGTTCTAAATTACTCGTAGTCAAGAAACAGGAATCCGTCAAAATATCATGGATTATTACTATGCTATACAATTCATTGGCCGTTTTGTAAACTCGCATCCTGACCCTATTCGCGGAACGCCGAAGAAACACAAATCGAAAGACACAGCGCAAAGAAAAACACATCATGACAACCGTCTAGCCCATCCACTAGCTTAAGCCTTTGCTTTTCCCTTGCCCTTGGAGTCCTCAGGCTGGTCTTCCTCCTCTTCCGAGTCACTCATAAACTCGTCGTCATCAAATCCAATGAACTTCCGAGGAGCTGCTTTCTGAGCAGGCGCAGATGGTCCCGGAGCGCCATTCCCCTCCATCTCCTCATCACTCTCCTCGTCCGAGTCACTGCCACTGGGGGTTTCCTGACCACTGCCGTCGCTGGGGCTCGCACTCGTGCTAGAGCCACCCAGGATATTATCGCGCAGGTTATCCGACCAGTCCCCGTTCTTCATGGCGACCAACACAGCATCTCTAGCCCTCTCATTCATCTCCTCCTTATCCTCCATCCACTGGCCGTCGACCTTCTGTTTGCCGCCCCCGTTCTTCAATTCCTCCTGACGCTTTTCCGCCATGTCCAGGACCGACTGCCATCGACGTCGGCGCTCCTCCTTCTCCTTGCGATCCATCTCCGGCTTCACGGCGAGGTATTCGGCCAGCGCTTTGGCCTCGTTGACGGTGCGGAGACGCCGGCCGTCGAGGTTTCGGCTGGATCCGTTGTCGTCGCCTTGGTTGCGCTTTCGCTTACTGGACATGCGCCCTCCAGCTGCACGAAGCTGAGACCCGAAACCACCCTTTCCACCACATAGCGGGACTGAGAGACGGAGAGGTAGGAGGTTCGATGCCATGTAGGTGGCGCCATTTGAGGCGAGTAGAGTCGAGACGAGGCTCTGCGAGAAGGGGTCGAGTTGTTTGTTGCTGGTGGTTGTTAAGACGAGTGACTGGAATGGGACGGAGGTTGGGATGTATGAAGAGATCTTGTCGGCAAGATCGGCGATGGTAGAGGTGGAGGTGAGTGAGAAGGAGAGTGTCGAAGGGAGCGACAGTCCAGGGAAGGACGTGAGTAGGATGTTGATGTTAGATGATGCCATTTTCGATAGCTAAAGCCGCAGGGGACTTGAGTCTTCCGTTCACTTCAAGTTTGAAGGGAGGGTGGTAAATATCAGCGGTGTGAATCGGCAGAGGTGAAGCGCAAATGACTGCAAGATTGCGGAGAGTTGACGATAAGAAAGGAAAGGCGATTAGTGATTACTCAAGCACCGGCAGAATAAACAGGGCGGTGGGAGTCAATCACATGACCAAAACTCTAAAAAAACCACAGATTCGAAAATACCATCTGGGCCTGATCGGATGGCCAGATAACAGAATTTCTATGGGTGAAAAGATTTGGAAGGGCACTGTTCGCTGTACAGAGGGAAACTAGGTACAAAATTTTCGCCTTATAGAAACAAAAGTGCAAGCTATTAAAATTCGGTTTCCAAATTGAGTTATCTCTTGTTTTGCAGCTCTAAGAGTTGATTTTATCCTCGGAGGTTGCTTTTGCTATGGGCTGCTCAGATTGAGGTCTGGGAAGTCGGACGGGCTGTTCACATGACCTGATCCCAGCCACAACTGAGTCCCAGCTATATCGGGACTAGCGTCGGAAAGAGGGTCCAAGCCCTAGCCGTTTTCCGGATCGGGAAGCCACCGCACTACTTTTCACTCCAAGCGCAGCCGCTCCACTCGACTATATCCATCATTTAAACCATACTCTTCCGGCGTTGTTTGAGCGATTCCCCGAAGAGCGCCAGGAACTCGCAACAATGTAAGTTGGGCCCCTTCTAGCCTCAATGCATTCTAGAAGGACATCGCATCTAATATCTTTCCAGGCTTATCCCTAAGGACGACCGCAAGAAGATCCACGAGTACCTCTTCCGCGGTATGTGATTTCTGTCGACGACCCTTTCCTCGCCTATGCTCTTTGCGCTGGACGGAATACTCGAATCCAACCTGCCTGCTTCGGCTTCACTCATTAAGACGACCTCGAATCAAATCCGCTGACTGAATTTCTGATTGAATAGAGGGTGTGCTCGTGGCCAAGAAGGACTTCAACCTTCCTAAGCATGGCGACATTGACACCAAGAACCTTTACGTGATCAAGGCCCTCCAGTCCCTGGACTCCCGCGGCTACGTCAAGACCCAGTTCTCGTGGCAGTACTACTACTACACCCTCACCCCCGAGGTACGTTTTCCCCGAGGATTTCGGAATTCTGGCTCCTTGCGATACAGGGTCGAAGTTCAGTCGACTAATGGTTTCTTTTTTTCCTTGACAGGGTCTTGACTACCTCCGTGAGTGGCTGCACCTCCCCGCTGAGGTTGTCCCCGCCACCCACATCAAGCAGCAGCGTTCTCACGCTCCCCCCCGTGGCATGATGGGTGGTGAGGAGCGCGAGCGTCGTCCCCGTGCTCCCCGTGAGGGTGGCTACCGCCGCCGCGAGGAGGGCAAGGAGGGTGGTGCCCCCGGCGAGTTCGCCCCCAACTTCCGTGGCGGTTTCGGCCGTGGCCGTGGCGCTCCCTCTTCGTAAAGGAGATGTCGCTAGATCTTCTTAGGGCGTCCGTGGATGTTGCGGGCGTGGCTTGAGTAGGCTTTATCTAGTCAGAAATTGCTACGTCTTTGCGCATCCTAACGAAAAATTTCAAAAAAGTGATTATGCATTGTTGCTGTTTCGATATCACGGAGTAGCTAGGTTCAATGACATGATTCTGATTTCAAAAATTTCAACTTTGGTGCTCTCGTAGATGCTCGTGTGCTATATAAATTCTGATATTCTTATCGCTGGCCAGATAGACCGGGGTATGATCTAGGCGGAGAATCTCTTTCGATCGTAGCGAATCACTGCCTGCAGAATGACCGAGGTGCCAGTCGCGCAGTCGTCCGCAGAGCAGTATTCTTCCGGATGATGGCTCAGCCCGTCCTTGCAGGGAACGAAGATCATACTAGTCGGCACTCTCTTCGAAGTAAAGACACTATCATGACCGGCGCCGCTCATGATCGTTCGCACCAGCGACTTCGGCTCCGGCGCATCAGCTACTACCGCCTCCGCCGATTTCTGTACGCAATCGATGCAGTCCGGATGGAACTTGACGGCCGGTGAATCAAAGTCCAGCTTCCATTCCACACGGCAAGGTTTCCCAATACCCTTGCCTTCCTCCGCCGCGATCGCGTCAAAATCCTTTCTCAATTGTGTCTCGACGACTTCGACCAGGTCGGTTTCTGGCCCGCGGATGTCGAGCGTAAAGCTGACCAGCCCGGGCACAGTATTCACACTTCCGGGCTTTGCTTCCACAATGCCAACGCTGGCTAGACATCCGTGCGAAGAGGCGACCTCTCGCGCGTGCACCATCATCCGCGCGAAGACATACAGAGCGTCTGCGCGGTGCTGAAACGCCGTTGTTCCGGTGTGGGTGTCCCTGCCGATGATGTTGAGGCGGTACCAGCGGTATGCTTGCACAGCAGTAACGACGCCGACGCGCTGGTTTGCGGATACAAGATGAGGACCCTGTTCAATGTGCAGTTCGAAGTGTGCCGCCATCGGTGTCTCTTTATAGGAACACGGCACACTTCCCAGGTAATTGATCTTTTCCAGTGCTGTTTTCATCGACTCCGGCGCAGACGAAGCAGTAGGGAGAGACGCCACGGTCGGGACCTCTTTGAGTCCATGGGCTCGTTCAAGTGGAATGCATTCGGCCCATACCCCAGAGGAGACCATACTGATAGGGAAACGAGCACCCTCTTCACTGTACAGATATTAGTCGCGATGGTTTGACGGACGATAGCCCTAATAAATTGATCAAAAAGGGGTCCTACTTTGTCCAGTTCACAACACCAACACCACCCTCAGTCTCAATACCCATCTCGTCGATAACTTTCAAGGTCTCGATCCCCGAAATAACACCAAGGATGCCGTCGTACCGACCGCCGGTAGGTTGAGTGTCCAGATGACTACCGATGAACACCGGAGGCACGTCCTTGCGTCGTCCGGGCCGTACGGCAAAGATATTGCCCATTTCGTCAACCGTGACAGTACATTTCAATGCCTTTGTTGTCTCAATGAACCAGTCTCGCACTGTCTTGTCTTCGTCCGATAGCGCCAGGCGCTGCATGCCTGTGTCTGTAGAGCCACTGGGTAATCGTTAGAATACTATGCGTCTACTATGGCAAGGAAAAGTAAATGAGATACTCACTCTCCCCAGCGGATCCCAAAGCCCCATTGGCAGCTATGATGGAGGTCTTTTGCAAGGCGTTCTTTATTGGCCCTCAGGGCCGAGACCTGTGCCTCGGACAATTCCGTCGAGAGCATGGCTCGTGTCGAAGATGTAACAGGGCCGATAGGGTTGTATGCGTGTTGGTTAATATGCCGTACGCAGGACAGACAATCAGGTACTCGATACAGCCAAAGATATGAAAAATAGAGCGGAAGCAATCTTATTTATCTAGCGAGTAGGACCGGGGCCTATATGTATACAAGGCCATCGTTGGAGACGCGCGGTAGATAAGCCTGCTTTTGCGGAGACATAGCAAATGATAAGGTAGGTGTATGAGTGGGGTCAAATCCTTGGCTCTAGAGCTCGGTGATCTTGCCAATTAGGAATCAGGGGATCCTGGTTCGGGGTCTGCGAGCCTTTCACTTCTCCAAATTTCTGGGTGTTGGGGTAGAGAGCACACCCTCCGTGGAGAGGTGTTGTACGGAGTACTCCGTAGTAGAAGAGACAACGGTAAATAAGACCAGACTAAGAGTATCATCGCGGGGAATCAGATTGGGGTGGGGCTAACACCGAGGGAGCTAGGAACAATAGGTACATTGGGATTGGTGGTAGTTGCGTGGATGGAGGGGTGAGTTAGTTACAGCGGACAAAAGTCCGCTGCTTGATATCAGGCAACTGATACGGCGATTGGAGACGATTCCAACATGCCAACCAACTCCAACGGAAGACGCGGAAGCCGCATGAATGGTTTATATTCATCTTTTGCAATAACACTATTGCCGGTGGTGCATGGAAGTGCCTCGAGGAAGTTGAGGAGCGGCCGTGGAGGTTATCGACACAGGATATACGCACTATTTTGCACACGCACCGCTCTCGAGAAGTAGACCTCCCGAGGGCCAAAGAAGACCAGAAAAAGAGTAGGGACCATAATGATAACTTAGGAAACGAAGCCCGCAAAAAGAAAAACAATAAAACCGACGACTGTGTCGATAGGTGGTATCCAAAGATTGAGCAGAGGATGTTTGGCGCAAACCACGGCCATCTCTGGTAAAAGGCAAGAAATGGGTTCTGAGCTAGTTTGTCACCATCCTCACTTATTCTTCCCACTAGTGACTTATACCCCCCTTTCATTTCCAGGTAGGCGGGAGTTCGACCCGGCCGCTCTCCATCTTTTTTCTTTTCCGACCGCCCTTCATGTCCCCGTCCGGTTCCGCCTTGAACCCCGCATTCGGTCGTTTCTCCTCTCGAGCTGAATTACGCAGTTCTTGTTTTCTCTAGCTATATAGACTTCGTCGACGATATCCCAAAATGTCTTCTTCTGCTGCTTGTATCTTCTGCAAGATTATCAAGGGTACGGTCTTTCTCTTCGAAACTAATCCCTTTTCGGTTTCTTGGTTTCTTTACGGGCGCGTCGCGATGATAGACGTCGAACCTAAATGGGTGACGTAGCTAGCTAACTTTTGCTATGGATTATAGGTGATATCCCTTCCTTCAAGCTCTTCGAGAGCGACAAGGTCTTTGCCTTCCTTGACATTCAACCTCTCAGCCGCGGACATGCCGTAAGTCTCTATTCATTGTGATTTCCGACCTCCCCGCACTGCAATTCGACCGTGATCTGCGCACCCATGGACAACGGGCCTGTTCAGCATCGGTCGAACACCTGTGTATATCCTGCACTTCCCAGTCGAGTCCTCTATATCAATCTGTCTTGTCTGTGTTTAGAAAGGGGAAAAAAATCAACTAACAGTGACCGATTTCTGAACAATGACAGCTCGTGATCCCCAAGTTCCACGGCGAAAAGCTTACCGACATCCCCGACGATCATCTCACTGAAATCCTGGTATGTGCAAAATGATAGAAGATCTCAAATTGGCTCGGGTCGCGGATAGATCGTCCTTTAATAGGGACGTGACAAAATCTGGGGACCTTGGGCGACGACGCGACCAGTTTCCACGACCATCCCTTCCTTTCCCCGCAGTTTGGGTCGAGAACCGAGCCAACCGCCCTTGAGTTCATGTTGGAGTCAAATGAACTGACGATTGCCTCTCTCTTCCTCTCCTTCTAGCCCGTCGCAAAGAAGGTGGCCCAGATCACTGGTGCCAAGGACTTCAATGTCTTGCAGAACAACGGTAGCATTGCCCACCAAGTGGTGCCTCATGTAAGTTCCACGCTAGTCTCTTATGACATGGAAGTTGGTGACTGACTTATGTGTTTCTTCGCCGTACTAGGTTCATTTCCACATGGTAAGTTTAGCCTACTCCTATGTCGAAGGTCGCATTGACAGCTGTTACACACGCTACTACCTGATCGCCTCGTCGACTCCGTGTGACATCTAGACAGGGCTAACGGTTACGCAGATCCCCAAGCCCAATGAGACGGAAGGTCTTGGTGTTGGATGGCCCGCCCAGGACACGGACATGGATAAGCTGAAGGCCTTGCACGAGGAGCTCAAGTCTAAGATGTAAGGTCTTCCTTACACAAAAGCTATGTACATACCTTCATATTGTACCTCGCACAGCGGTTCTATCCCCGGCTTGGTGCCATGGCTGGGCGTCGTCTGCTGTGTTCCGTAGTGCAATCTTAAATGAACTTCGATCCTTCATTTAATAATCAATCAATGGACGGATGGTTTGACCTTTTAGTTCAACATGAGGTTTCACATCTAGTGGCGGGTTGGCCTCGTGACGGAAGATGAGGCGTATTCAATAGTGCCACATATTAGCGGCCCTGTAAGGGCCCCTGTCAGTTTGAACCAAAGCCCAATCCTCGAAACTCCCTGGTGCGGAGACTATCCTAAAACCGGATCGATCTTGCAGCTGAATGGCCACTTGATCATTCCCTTGCTGATTTGGGTAGGGCTTTGTGTAACTCTAATAGTACATTCAGGAAGCAAGGAGACCAAAAACCGACTCCCCAGAGTCATCACATTGTCCATCATGAGGTGCTTTATATACATGCTGTATGTCACATTAGATAAAACAGAAACTTTCCTATCGAGGATTATATAGTAAGAGAAAAAAGAAATCAAAAAAGTCTAACTATCTAAAAGGTTCAACTCATTCAAACCTAACCCAAGGCATCGTTTATTTCGATTCGGCGGGGTAGAAATTAATCTTGCCATCGCCTTGGAGGACGTTCAGGCGGTCGTATAGCGACCTAGAACGGATATAAGGGTCGAGCTGCCAGTATTGAACTCTCAACCGCTCAATCAGACCGTTTCGGTCTTCTTTAGCGGTCTTCAGAGCTTCGTCGTCCTTCTTCCGGCTGGCCGAGATCCACGCGATGGTTGCATCTTGAACTTCCTGCGCGAGCTTCTGCCTTTCCACGAGTAGCTCGTCTCGCTTTGTCGTGTCTTCCATGGCCTTGTTCTCGCCCGGCTGGGGTTCGACGTATTTATATTCCCAGTCCTCGTCACCCTCGAGCTCCTTCATGATGCGGTCCCGGGGGATGAATTTCTCCAAATCCGAGACATTATTAGTGAAGTTGATTTTGGCGGCAACAACTGGATCGAGCCATCCCTTGATGATTTTCCAGATTCCTGCACAATGGTTAGAACATGCTGTCAAGCACAAGTGCGGATGCAAGGGAGCTACGAACCTGAAAAGAGCCAAGGGGCTTTGTGAATGAGCACCACTCCAAGACACTCGGGGTAGTTGGCCTCAAAGCACTTGATCATGAATTTAACAGGGTTATAGTCCTAAGTTAAGTTCATTAGATATGCTTTCATCACGTAGAGAAGAGACTTGGGACGTACCATATTCGACAGAGAGAAATTAGTCATATCAAAGACAACACACTATTCTAGGTTAAAAATTGATCGTCAAGACATGGAATAGAAACACTTACGGCGGTTTCAACGGGAGGTGCGAGCATCATTCGGGCAGATTCAATAGTGTAAACAGTAAAGCGGTCCAAAACTTCCGTGCTCTGGTCGGAGGCCTTGTGCAAGCGCACCCTGACAACGCAGATGGGTCGGCCGAGCTTGTCAACGCCATGAAGGAAACTTTTGCCCAGGCGCATTTGCATGAGGAATTCCTCGCCAGCTTTCTTTTCCGTGGGGTCCGAACTCTGCGATTGCTTCAAGGCGAGATGTTCGCCATTCTTCATGATATCATCGTCCACGTTGACCTCCTGCAATCTCCACCGGATCGTAGAGATGAACATGATCAGCGCTTTCTTGACATCCCACTTGCGCGCCCGGAGGAAGCGCAGAAGCAAAGTATCGGGGTTGTCTTGTTTGACCATATTCCAAACGGTAGTGCGGATTTCCTCCGGCTTCATGTCAACAAGAGCTTGCTGGAATTCCTTCGACTGTCCATACTTGTCATCGCCATCGGTAATGTCGATGGAGGCAATATTCGCCGACTTCACACTGGCAGCATCGTCCTCTTCACTGCTTTTTCCACCACCGAATAATCCGAACGTTCTCCGCTTAGTAGGTTGTTGGGGTTGCTGTTCCTTTTTCTGGGATGCGCTCGAGTCTCCGGTTTGTTCAATACCCTCCAGGCTGACACCGCAAACTTTCAACAACAGCATCCAAAACTCTTGCAACTTGGCTTCCTGCTCGGGCGTAAGGGTGCCCACGGTTCCGGGGGCGGCTTCGGCAGGCATTGTTTTGAGGGTATCGATTACTCCGAGGAAAGGTGATAATTCCTGGTTGTCTAGATCGGGCTGCGGAAGCGGCGGAAGCGACGGGTTGTCCACGGAGTTATGGTATTTATCCTGTAACCAGGTTCCTCCACAAAGTAGAGCGATGGCGAATGTGATTGTCCAGAAAGATACAGCCTTCCTCGGTTCCTCAAGTGACGAAGGGGAGAAAGTGGAGAGGGACCGTCGAAGTGGATTAGAGAAGGTTAAGGAGCTTGGTCTTGGATAGGACGGTAAGAATATCTGTGCACCCCCAAATCGATGCAGCTGAAACGGGGTGGAATGGAAGGACTTGGCCGAAAAATGAGCGAGGCGGCGACGTAGAAACGAACCAGCATGCATGTGCTAGAAAAAAGAGACCACAGGGAGGGACAGAAGTGGGTGCAATCCTGGTCTCCGTTCTCCGCGTACTCCTTGGTGCGACTAGCAAGATCAGACAGAGATCAGACCCCTGAACTTTTTAACTGCGGATGCGGGGAAGTAAGAGGGAAAAAAAAAAATGAAACGAGAAGAAACGAAGGCCAGAAAGGGACCAAGAGGCAGGGAATTGGCAATAATTAGCAAGGAAGAATAGCAAGGGAAAAAAGTGAGAAGGGACCCAAAAGATGGAGCCAACCAGGGGTTCAGTGCAGGGCCTGAGGCCTCCGCCACCCGAAAGCGGGGGATCAACCGCCGGCGTCAACAAACACCCTTTTAACGCTCTAAAGATAGATTTTCGTCCACTTAACCGAGCCCCAATATTAAATCAATCATCGAGAAAAAAGCTCTAGCTCCAACTAGATACCGACTAAATTCGAGGCACGCGCAATTCCGCATTCCTACCGACCCCACTCCTACGCTTTCTCCTGCCTGTGCTTGACCCTTCAAACCTCGGAATTGAATCGCCAGAATGGACGCCCGAGCCTCCTCGCGTCCGCATCCTTCCTCCAGGCCCACGACCCCCCTCCGACCTAGCTCTCGGTCATCTTTTCGCGAAGGTCATGGATATGGAGGTAGTATCGGCAATGCAGGCTATACCCAACCGGCCATCAATGCCCTGGAGCCCCAGTTTGCAGAACTTGCCGACTCCATGGCCGACCTCGAGGCCAACTTCATGCACCTGCAGTTAATGCACGAGAGTCTGACGCGCTTCAGCGAAAGCTTCGCCAGTTTTCTGTACGGAATGAACATGAATGCATTTTGTGTCGATTTTCCGGAGGTATGGCGGACCAAAGTGATGGCATCGGTCAAGACTTTGTGCTAAAGTCGTTTGCAGGCTCCGATTCCCGAATCGTTTAGAAGGGCGAAGCTAGCGGAAGCACAGAAAGGTATGGTTGTCGTGTCTCGCATCATGAACACACCGTATTGACAAACCTCCAGAGTATGAGACAGAACAAACCCGACCTTCAATGGATGACGAAGCAACGTACATGTGAGTCTATCATTGCTTTGACTAAGTGCTGCACATGCTCATAACAATGCCGTTCCAGAACCACCGACACCACGTTTGTCGAACACCCCTCCACTACACTACCCTCCAAACCGACGACCAAATCGTCTCTTCCTTCGCGCGGAACCACGAGAGGAACCCGTACCCGTGGCTCCAGTAGCGGCCGTTATACTACAAGGGGAACGAACCGAGCGCGTCCGAGTGCTCTACCTCGGGGAAGGGGAATGCGATGAGCATATGCGATTGCTAAAGGGATAGTTTCAGGGAGGTTATAAACAGACTCGTGGACTAGGCTTCGTCGGCTCGAAATCGCACCCGGAAGGACTGGTCTGCGCTACAAGTATTCTGGCACCAAGACCTAATCTTAGATCGCCGTTTGATACTCTGACAGGAAGCGATGGACAAGAGACTCAGAAAGTAGTGTCAATGATGTTGGACACTGGAGACCAGCGCATGCGACATCACGACGATCTATCCTCATCGTATTGTCGTACGACAAGCATGGCAACTGAAATGACCGGATACTAAATTTGCAATTTGCTGCGACAGTTGCTTTCCCGTTTGAATTCATAGAGCTCTGGCTGTGCTACTTTCACTTGGGTTGTGTTGCACGGATGCATTTAGTCTTGGGGAGATCCGTCGAGGGGATGGATCGATGTTAATGAATAATGAAACTGGCAAATAGAGATGCCCAGTGACGACTAAGTTGTTCTGCTTGCCATAGTCAGTAGTGCATACACCGTAGTGTGTATAGTGTATAGTCATACTGGAAAAGACCACGTGGGGACGGATCAATGGCAGTCCCGGGGTCTTATCGCTGGGCAGCCGCGGCGACACACCCTTGCGACCAGCGAAAAAGATCCTTTAGACTAGCTCCCTCCGTCCCCAGCGCCCTACTCCCTTTCGGAGAGTTCGATTCTTCTAGTTATTATTGTTACTCCTATTGGATACATCTGTGTGCTCCGCAGTGTCGCTCGCTCCAGTGACCCCCCTCTAGTCGCCAAAGTAAGAGCCTGAGCCTGAGAGGGCTGGCAGACCCTCCCGACTTTTATCTTGCGGTACTCTTCGGGACCCGATCCGACCGCAACGGAACACAACCTACTGGAACTTCACTTGTCCGTCGACGATTCACTGACGCCGTCTGCTACTGGACACCTCCAATTGACCCTGACCAGGAGGCTGACCACCCAGACGCACAATGCTGGTGTGATGCATCAAGGGTTCTTGACCGTGTCTCATTCCATGGATCCCCATTGTTTCTGCGCTTAGAATACTGCATTGTTTCACCTGCCTCCCCCATCCTATAGAGCTGAGCCTCCTTGGCAACTGATTGACTCCATCTTGTCGCATGATCCACTTTGTCCCCCGGGAGTTTGCTTTCTTACTGTGCAACCTCTTCCTTCTGAACTAAACTCGGGACGCCTCAATTCTATACTAGCGCCCTACCGATCTGACATCCTCACAATGGCCAGCGTAGCTTCCGTGACGCTCCTTTCGGAGGCCGAGTTTGGCTGTGGTATGCAAACACCATGGCAGATTTCTCTCAAGTTTTGTTCTCCATGCTGACGGGCCACAAGAGCACATTGCCACTCAACTTGCGCATGCGGGAAGCACTGCGAATCAGTTCAAGAATTCGTTTCTCAAGACTCACAATGCATTGGCTCCTCATCCCATTACGGCGGAGATGATTGGAAAGAACACTACGGGTCCGCGTGCCTATAGTCTTCTGAGACCCAAATACACGTGCTTGACTTGCTCCGAAGCCTGCACCCCAAGCAGTCGGAATAAGCACACTGAGAAAACAGGACATTCATTTTGTAAGTCAGTCCTGCGCGTGACTCTAGAAATCCTTGCTAATCTCCGTCTAGTCATGGAATCAAGGAATCGCGCGCTATATTGCCAGAGCTGTGAAGATCTCATCTACGATCACAGCCTGGAGCGGCTGCGATCGTCATCATCAGAGAACACAATCAAAGGTTCGTATACGCAGTCATGTCCCTGTGTTCTTCCAAGCTAAAATGGAACAGTTGCTCAAAAACGTCGGTTCAGCGAGAGCTCGGCCGATGAGCTGTATGTCAGAAGCAACGCCAACAGACGCCTTTGCGCGAAAGCTGGCGCCAGGGGATTGTATAACCTGGGCCAAACTTGTTACATGAATGTCATTCTTCAGACTCTGCTTCACGACCCAATCCTGACCACTTATTTCCTGGGCAATGGCCATCCACACCATCATGATTGCCAAATACCCGATTGCATAGGCTGTGCGGTTGCAGAAGCATTTGCCGATTTCAACAGTACCGAGAAAGTGGACGGATTCGCGGCCCTGAACCTTCTCGTGGCAACATGGCGGGGAAGCGCGGTATGCGATCACGACTTTTCATGGGCCTTGAAAAACGATACTGACACCTTCCTCAGGCTCTCGCAGGATATCATCAGCAAGATGCACACGAATATTACCAGTTTCTGGTTGATAAGCTGCACGCAACCACCGATGGACATCTGGAGAGCCATGAGAAAGGCTGTCCCTGCTTCTTCCACAAGACGTTTTACGGCAAGCTTCGCAGCAGCGTGACTTGCGACAAATGCGGCAATGTCACGCGAACTGAAGATCCCATGGTGGATCTGAGTCTGGATGTTCAGGTGCAGGCAAAGAAGCGCGCCATGGGCGGCTCTGGGCCCTCCTCCCCACCTACACTGACCGGATGCCTTGATAGCTTCACTTCCCCTGAGAAACTCATGGCAGGTGTTTACAACTGCACCTCATGCGGGGACACCCCTCAAAAGGCGACGAAGCAGCTGCGCATCAAGAAATTGCCGGCGATTCTGTGCATGCAGTTGAAGGTATGCGTTTATCTATATTGCAGTGCACACTCCGTCCTAATCTCGTTGATAGCGCTATGAACATACTTTTTCGGTTTCGGAGAAGCTCGAGGGCAGAATTGATTTCCCACTGTCCATCAATATGCTCCCATACACAACCAACCCACACCCTCTGACTGACAGATCGCGATACGTGTATGACTTGTCGTCCGCGGTGGTTCATAAGGGAAAACTTGACGCTGGTCATTATTATGCCTATTGTCGTCAAGGTGATCGGGTATGTCCATCCCTGTCACATCCCATACCACTTCACATCCAGATGGTACTAACATACAGCAGTGGATGCTCTTCAACGATGACCAGGTCACTCCAGCGACTGAGGCCGACGTCCTTAACGCCGACGCCTATCTTCTATTTTACAATATTCGATCCTTGGCGAGCGCTCCAAAGTAGCTGTCAAGAGTGATCAACGCGCATGGGATGTTTACTTGCTTTATGATTTTTATTCTTTCTTCCTCTTTTCTTTCCCCTCATGTAAGGTGGCTCTGTTTTTTTTTTTTTTTTTTTTTTTTTTTTTTACTGCATACCCTGTTCCAGCGGTTAGGAGTTTCATGGCATGGAGTTAAGACCGTTCTGATCTCTGTTCTTTCCTCTCTTCGTTTTCTTTCCTTTGCTCGATTCACATTCCGACCTGGAGCTTGGGATCGACGTTCTATATCTATCTATTGCGAGACGCAAAGACTTAGTCCTGTTCATGTTGGACTGCGGATCTGGTTTATCTAGATATGACTGGTTGTTATCGGGATGCAGGCGATCATGTACAAATCTTGGTAGATAAATCTTGAATTCTACTTGCTTTTTATGATAGGTCTACGCGGAGAACGGGACTGTATAAGTGCTTGGGTCATTGGATATGGTCTGTCGGATATGGTAAGACGTAGGGGGTAGGTGAGAGATTTGGAAGGACGCATAGATAAATTAGCATTTCCTGTTACATGTGACTGACTGCCAAGCACGTAGACGTATATCTCCCCATTCAAACCGATAGACGAATGCATGTAACGGGACGGGACATTCACGGGACCAGTAGGAAGAGTAGGAAGGGCGAGTAGGCGGGATCCAAGGCAGGCGCAATCGAAGGGAGAGTCATGTTCAGCCGTCACGAGGACTACGTGGAAGACCAGATCGAAAGACGGGACTCGACGCAATTCATTCTCGCAACAGGGGAATTCCTCGGTGGAAGACAAGGAAACAAGAAAGCAATGTTTTTAATTCCCCAGGAGTGAATTGATTTTAAAAGAAAAATTTCCTCACTTCAATTCAAGTAGATATTGAATTGGAAGCCAAGACACAGACACAAAGGTTTCGACATGACACCTTTTAATAAAAAAAATTGTCAACACCGACCATCCACGCATAAACTTTCCTCGTTGCTCTTTTCAAAATAAAAAGATTTCCCATTTTTAAAATTGATTGATGTCCTCCAACGTTGGGTTTGAGAGCTATTCACTGTTCCAAACTGGTCTTGTCCCGTCGGAGTACAAATCGGTTCTTCTTCATCATTATGTCCGCATTGGTTTCTGACCGGGCGCCGAGCACGTAACGATTCGTCGTGAATAGGAATTGGAGATCGCGATTAATTTACCGGTACTGTGTAGGGTTGAGGCTCTGGTTAGTGATTGCGCTCCCACGTATGTTTGATTCGAATATGGTGGTGTATGTGTCCGGTTGCGCTTCTTTTCTTTTCCTCCAAAATTTGTGTAGTCTTCCCAATTCGATCGTTGGAGTCGTATTAAATGGAATAAACCAACCTTGTTGAAACCAATGTCCGTGGACTTCTCACGGAAGCACTGACGGCAGATGTTCATCTGTATTCAAATTCCCCGATCAGTTATTATATTCCTAGAAACTGCAGATCTTTCGCAATCTGCAGTGTAAAGCTGGATTCAGATATTCCATACCCCGTACTTGCGGATGAGACCGGCGCGGTGAGAGCAGACACGGCTATATCGATCGATTCATCAGTTTTCGTCCATTCCAATACCGCACACAGATATAGAATAATTTCATCATATCGTATCGAACGATTTCATCGGGGGAGATATTTATCGTACCAGGAGCGGGAGCCCTTGCCGAACCTATCGAGAAAAAAAGTAATTAGCCCAATTGTTTCTCATCTTGTAACCTTCAATCCCCGATAATCCTTCCATTCCACCCTCCCCCGAAACCAAAACCAAAACCCGCACAGAAATTAGGGATGGATCCTTACTTGCGAGGCCGGCTGTACCAGACGGAGTCGTGAGTCATCTTGAAATTTGAGGCGAGGAAAACCTAGACGTGACGGTGTCTGGCAGGCGTGTACTGTCGTCGCTGGGCGTTGAGGTTGAACGGAAAGGTTAGGGTTGAAAATGCGTTGTGTGCCTTCCACTCCCGATATGCGGGCTCGGACCATCTCGCTTGATTGCCGCTAGGCCGTGTTGGGTCGCTGTGTGGCCGGTCCGGTCATGTGACGGGGTGCCGCGGGCCCTCGTTTCGGTCTAGTCGATTCTGGAGATCGGCGGTGTGTAAGGCTTTCTCCGCATCTTTTTTTTTTGTCTTCCATCGTGCTTCGATGGGGCTTTGCAGGGAATGACATCCGGATCGACGAGTAGGGTATCGTGAATCTGATCTCGAGAACCGATTGCTCGACTTGATGTCTTGGTTTAAGACTGAATGCGATGAGCGTCTTGACCTTCACAAGTCCTTCTCTATACCCCTTCCTCTATACCGGCCGTATGGATACCTTACTCCAACATCATAAGAATGATTATTTTATAAATCAACGCTCCTCAGGATCCGAATAAATTCCCATTACTAAAATTACTAACCAAACAGAACAATATCAATCAAGCCAACCCCATCTCCTAAACCAAACGAACAGTGGTGGTAATCGCCGAATCAATCACAATACTCGTATCATTGATACAACTCGCCGCCGGGCTCACCAGATACGCAATAGTCACCGCAACCTCCTCACCCTCAGCCGCTATTTTAATAGGCAGAATTGCCGAGATCAGATCCCGCACTTCATGGTTCTTCTCCATCCCGACGTCCAACATCGGCGTACGAACCTACGACGAACACACGGCGTTACAGCGGCTTCCTTTTGGCACATGGTCGAGTCCTGTCATCATTTGAGCACCGATAGTCAGCCGAGGGAAATTCCAGAACATTGCACCGTTTGAGCTCTGTATGCATCCCGTATGTATACTGGTGGGTTTGGAAACGTACCAGCCATCTTCGTCAACGCCATAACGGCATGCTTTACCATTGATCATACCGCATCTTGTTTGCGCTTTTTGCACGAATCAAGATACCATCATCGTCCGTGTAAAAAGAGCCGTGCCGTGGGACACCTCAAGGTAGGTTTATAAGTGAGTTACTTATAGCGACAAACTAACTTGGTCTTGTAATAATTGCGGTAATGTCTTGGACTTAGAGGAGGGGAACGAAACTCACAGGAAAGGGCTACTTCTGCCAAAGTGGTCTGTCTTGGAGGGTGGATTGCCAGATTCACGTGGTATGTCGAAATTCCAACCAGCTGGAAGATTGTAGTGAAAGCTCCAGTCCTCAAAGCTCGGTACAACGGGGAATGGGTCTATGATTGGCGAGTGAATAGCTGGATACGCATGGATAATCCTCGTAAGTGAGAGGCACTGAGAAAACTTCATTCTATGCGACTTCAAGTACGGCTCGAGATATCTATAAGGCGAACTTATTCATCCACTGGATGGAAGGGGTTCCTTCGGAACACCTTTACAAAACCTCTTCATCGAGAATTTTCGATCACACCATTCTGTCTCCCAGTTCTTTGCTCTGTCCTCTGTGTCTATTCTGTGGACGCTCTATCCTCTGTCTTCCTGTAGCGGCGTGTGGCGTTGCTCCGGGTTTGTTTGTTTTTTTTTTTTTTTTTTTTTTTTTTTTTTTTTTTTTTTTTGTGTGGTGCCGCTCCCAGATGGTAAAAAACAAAAAAAAAAAAAAAATATAAAAAACATAAAAAAAAGAACGAA